CTCTCTCTCTCTCTCTCTTTGCTGCACGCTCGGGCATTTGCGAGACTTCTGGAATGGACGCGCTGCTTGGCGGGATTGGGCTAGCGTGTCTGAATGTCGTCAACCTGCACCTCGCCTTTGGCGCCTTGGGCCTTCAAAAGAGGCAGGAGCGAGGCGAGGCGAGGCAAATGCAAATGCAAATGCAAATGCAGGTGCAGGTGCAGCACGCGCCGACAGGGTCTAAAGTGACGCTCATGCCAGCCGATGCGGCGCTCGGAGCGCGCAGCCGCGTGTGTTCTTTGGAACGGCACGCGCCGCCCGTCTGTCGCTCACTTAGCCGACGCGCCCCACACACCCTAGCCGAATATGTCCGCTCTAACATCCATACTCGCGCCGGAACTGCGAAAGACGCCGAAGAGCCACCAGCAGCAGCAGCATCCCGCCCGGCGTCTTTTGTAGCGCTGCTGGAAGCGGTAGCCGGCTCGAGCCAACTCCTGCATCGACGTTGGCTAGTTCCAACAAGGCTGAGCTTCGGTTGTGCATTAGGCTCAAACCGATGTCGCCTGCTCGCAGACGGCCGAAAGCGCAAGACAACCGTCGCCTCCCGACGATGTGGTTGACCGTGATCTCGATCGATGCACCATCGGGCGGTTGCAATCGGTGCGAGCTTTTTTTGGGTGCAATAATTGAGGTGCGATTGATTTTCAAGCCCCGACCGCGCACCGGAAATTCGAGGCGTTGCAAAGGACCGTCGCATCGCCCTCGTCATCCTGCTTGTCTGCTGGTCCGCCTCGGCCTCTGTGCAAATGCGCCGATGCTCGACGGGCCGATTTTGGCGGCTGCACCGCCCCTTGTCGGCCTCCCGAAATTCAGGAGAGAGTTGGTCTCACTTGGCTCGCCAATGCGCAGTCTCCCCTTCTCCCCCTCCCATCATCTCAACCTTCCAAGCTTGACAAAAGCTCGCTGGATTCGTCACGATGAACAGCTCCAACTCATCCCACAACTTCCGCTCCTCCCCGGCCAACAGTCCGGCATACGAGCAGCACAACCTCAACTCCTTCAACGCCCGACAACCGCCCTTCCAGCCATCCCACTCTCACAGCCAGTCCACAAGCGTGCTTCTCAACTCGTCTTCACGCTCCGGCTTCCGTCCACAGTCGCAGCAGCTACAGCAACAACAGCAGCAGCAGCCCGGCTCCAACCGCTCCGTCAGCATGCGTCCCATGTCCGCTTTCCAGCCGCTCGACAATCCTGACTACTACCATGCAGGCGCCACCTCCAGCCCCACCTCCCCACGCCCGCCTTCCCCTACCGGCTCCACCGCAAGGTCCATCCGCTCCACCGCCAACACCCCGCTCACCTTCAAGAGCCAGGACCTCCGCAGCGCCCTCGGCCTCCAGGAGTCCCAGCAGAAGAAGCTCTACATGGAGGGCTATCTCCTCAAGCGCGACGACCTCGGCACCGACGGCAAACCCCTCAACGTCGCAGACGACAAGCGTCGCTGGTCAGAGTGCTTCGTACAGCTCTCCGGCACCGTCCTCAGCCTCTGGAACGTACAGCAGATGGAAGAGGCCGCCACCCGCGGCACCGAAGTGCCCCCCACCTACATCAACATCACCGACTCCTTTGTCGACTTTATCGGCCTCCTCATCGAAGACCCAAAACTCATCCCCGGCAGCCGCGGCCGCTACCACCACGCCTTTGCCATCAACTCGGCAGGCAACAACCGCACCATCTTTTGCTTCCGCGACCCGCCCCCCTTCCCGCCCGACTCGCTCGAACAGTACCTCGCACCCGAACACCGCAACAAACCCGAACATCGCACCGTCATCGGATGGCTCAACCTCGGCCATCGCCACCTCCAGGCCTGGATCAACGCCATCCGCCTCGCCTCGTGGGAAAAGGTGCGTCTCGAGGAAATCTACACCGGCGCCCTCATCCGCGCCCGCCTCGGCGCCGTCGGTGGTCCCGCTTCCGCTTCCGCTTCCACAGATGCAAAGCAGGCGCCCGCCGTCTCGGCTTCCGACTTGGCCATCAAGTCGCCCCTCGTAAAGGGCAAGATGGAGGGCTGGGTCAAGGCTCGCTTCATGGGCTCCACCGAGTGGAAAAAGGTCTGGATGGTCCTCACCGACCACAAGCCAGACGAGTCCGAATTCGGCGCAAAGAAGAAGTTCTGGAAGATCGGCTCCTCCGCCGGCGACCGCTCCAGCATCATGAGCGTCAACAGCGTCTCCACCGCCGCTCCCGGCGCTCCCGGCGCAGACGGCAAGGACCTCCCGCCTCCTCCCGGCAGCAACGGCGCGCCTGGCGTCGCCAGCTTCTTCGAGTCCAAGAAGGACAAGAAGCCCTTCGCCAGCCTCATCTACGCCGCCCACGCCTTTGCCGTCTACCCCTCGCGTCCCGAACTCGTCGAGGGCTCGAGCCTCTTCAAGATCGAAGGCGTCTTCCCCAACTCCACCGTTCTCTCCGCCACCCACCGCGTACGCACCACCGGCTGGGTCATGCTCATGCCAGAGCTCGACACCGCAGGCAGCAAGGGCGCCAACGCAGAGATGATGAAGTGGATCATCGCCTTCATGGACGCCTTCAAGCTCTACGGCCGTCCCGACGCCTTTGTCTGGGAGGCGCGCGACCCCGTCTCGCCCTTCTTCGCCTACCCCATCGGCCCCTTCAAGGATCGCCTCTTCCTCGACAGGGAGCTCGCAGAGTTCCTCGAGATCGCTCGCGAGGACCACCTCACCACCCGCTCCGCACTCCACGGCATCATGGCCGCTCGCATGCGCGGCGAGCGCACAAAGATCCTCCAGCCCCTCCCGCCTCCGTCCCAAAACACCGTGCTGCCCACCCGCGCTGCCACCAGCGTGCCCATGGACGACTCTCGCTCCGCCGCTTCGTCCAACTCGCGCCTGCCGCCCCTCGACTTTGCCTCCAGCCAGCCCGCCGCACAGACCGCAGCTCCGGCGCTCGCACCCACGCACCACCAGCAGCAGCAGCAGCAGCAGCAGCAGCAGCAGCAGCAGCAGCAGCAGCAGCAGCAGCAGCAGCAGCAGCAGCA